ACCCTAACAGCAGAAAGACTGGGAATGACTGGTCACTATGACACACACTGACCACCAGGGGGCAGACGCTCAATGCAGGAGCTGCCCCCTGGTGGTCAGTGCGCTCCCACATGGGGGAGCTCTGCTCAGCCACAAGCCAGATTGATGGCTGCCAGTACAGCGGTGGTGGTGGGAGCCTCTTCTGCCTCAGCAGCGCTAAGGATGTCCGACTGCAGCTTAGGTCTGCTCCCCGCTGGCAAGTGGACATCCCCCGAGGGCTGCCAGGCTGCCAGAGGGATGTCTGATTGCCAGCTTAGGCCCAATCCCCCAGGGAGCAGGCCTAAGCCAGCAGGTGGTCATCCCCCAAGGGGTCCCCGACTGCGAGAGGGCACAGGCTGGGCTGAGGGGACCCCCCGCCCCGAGTGCACAAATTTTTGTGCACTGGGCCTCTAGTATATATAAGCTGTTCCTTATTTTCCTAATTTGCCTCATAGCGGTCTTCCCTATACACAGGGTTAGCACTGTACATACAGCATATCCCCTTTGTACTATTTTTTTCATAGCACCATGTCCTGAAAATACTGTATATGTCTTCCCATTAAAATAAGCACCATGAGGGACAGAGACTTGCCTCTGTTCACATTTCCATATCCACCCAAATACGGAATGGCAGGTGCCGGCAACACTGCTGTGTTCTCCCAACACCTACCTTTGGTCACATACAAGTAGAAGAAGTCACAGTAGAAGATGGTTTGTACCACTCCAGACACCACTGCAATTTGGTCATAGAAACCCTCAGTCTGGTACCGCCTGATCCAGTTAGCCAGGTAGAGTGCCCGGTACAGGCCCAGAAAGAACAGGTAGTGGGTAGTAATGGTCTCAGCCTCTCCAGTCTTGCTGATCATGAAGAGCTGGGGCAGGATGGCCACCGATTCCAGGTAGATGGAGAAAGTCCAGAGGATCTGAGCCAATGAGATAAGTGTCCAGAGGAGGTTGGTCAAGACCAAGAAGAGGCCCATCTCTTTAAAGGAATTTCTAAAATATGTTTACTGGAGAGAATACAGTGAAGTAAAAAATCATGTTCTTAATAATTTTTAATATCATTCAACCTCTTTAAAGAAGCTTTTTTTCCCCCCACAACAGCATGAATATTTCTATAGCTCAGTATTTTTAACTGCAGAATTTTATTGTATAAACTCTCCTTGATTGAGGCCATGGCTTCTCAAAATGTAGGCTGAGAACACCAGCATCAGAATCTCGCGAGGTGCTTGCTGCCCCAGGTTGTTGGGCTACAGCTCAGACTACAGAGTTGAAACCTTGGCCTGGGCTGTGCTCTGGTGCCCACTGACCACCCGCTGGACAGGTCTCAAGAGCCTTAGGTGGTGCTGTGAGGCTCTGTGCCTGAACACCACGTGAAATGTGCCGTTTTCAAATGGGGCGGTATGGACAGCTTGTTGCTCATTTCTAAACCTCCCGCTGAACAACATGAGTAATAAAACAGGCCCAGACACGAGTCCAGAGGGCAGGACGTTGGGCGCACGTTTACCTTTGAGAATCAGTCCCCCGGGGCCCCTTGCTTACCTCCAGGGGAGTGAAACTATAGTTCTCAAGGAAGGAGAGGCCAATGACTGGGACCAGAAGAAACTCCAGGCGGAACGTGTCATTCTCACTGTCAAACGTTTTCCGAAATTTTCCATAGATCATGTACACTGTGACATAGGCGCAGAGGAGAAAAACCAGCTGCAAAGGGGGAGAGACACGGGGGCATCGATGAAGTCATTTCCCAGCCACTTGGCTGGGCTTCAAAGCCACCCTGAGCTGGGACCTACCCACCCTCATGGCTAGTGCTCTGCCTTCAGGGGGAAGAGGTGAAATGTGTTTGCAATTTCTCTTCGGTCCAGTAGCCTAGAACCTGAAGCTAATGACCCTGGTTAGTAACTTCGTGCTTCTAATTGGGACTGATAGTGCTACGGTGAGGACCCAGAGGTGCCCAGGCAAAAGCCCAGGACTGGTCTTTGCGGGGGGATTCCTCAGTGGCATCACGGGGCTCTTTTAAAACCAGAGCTTTTTAGGTGCGCACCAGTGACTTGTGAGCATTCTTCCACAAGGACTAACACCCTCAGCCCATTGGTCACTGCGCCTTCGGAAACGTTCTCTTTCTAATTAGCAGCAGCTGTCCTCCAGCATGTAATGAGTGTAGGATCTGGCCTCAAACCTTCTAGGCCAGAGGTTCTCAAACTTGGAGATGCATCAAAATTACATAGTTGACTGCCCCTTCACTGCCCAGTTTCTGCTTCCGTAGGTCTGAGTGGGCCTGAGGATCTAAATTTCTAGCAAGTTTCTATGTGATGCTGCTGCTGCTGCTGGTCTGGGACTACACTGGCCTAAAGGGTTATTTGTAGTGCCCGACTGGTGTGGCTCCGTGGTTGAGCGTCAACCCATGAACCAGGAGGTCACAGTTCAATTCCCCATCAAGGCACATTGCTGGACTGCAGGCTGGATTCCCCACTAGGGGGCGTGCAGGAGGCAGCCGATTGACGATTCTCATTGTTGATGTTTCTCTCCCTCTCCCTCTCTGAAATCAATAAAAATATATAAAAAAAATAAAAATAATAAGAGTGTCAGCCTGGGCACCAAAAGGTCACAGGTTTGACCTCACGTTTCGGTTGGGGTTGTGCAGGAGGCAACCAATCTATGTGTCTCTCTCACATCAATGTTTCTCTCTCTCTCTCTCCCCCTCCCTCCCTCCCCACCTCCCTTCCACTCTCTAAAAAGCAATGGAAGAAATATCCTTGGGTGAGGTTTAAAAATAAACAAAAAAAAACAATTCAGGTTATTTCATTGAAGTCTTTTCTCACCAGAATGAGGCACACATACTCTGTCACCATAGCTAAAAATACTAACTGCTGCCCATGAGCATATGTCCTGTAAATGTCTGTGTAACAGTGTCTTCCCTAGGAGGGAATTCCTATAAGAGGGTCCTGTTGACTTCTGAATTCCCAGCCCCTAACTCAGGACCCAGCACAAAACAAATGCTGGAATGAGCGAATGAATCACGGACGTGGTGATCACTTCTTTTTTCTTTTTTTTCAATCCTCACCCGAGGATATTTTCCCATTGATTTTTTTTTAGGGAGAGTGGAAGAGAGGGAAAAACAGAGAGAAATATCGATGTGAGAGAAACACATCGATTGGTTGCCTCCTGCACACGCCCCAACCAGGGCCCAGGCCAGGGAGGAGCCTGCAACCCAGGTACGTGCCCTTGGCCGGAATCGAACTTAGACCCTTTGGTCCGCAGGCCGACGCTCTGGCCACTGAGCCAAACCAGCTAGGGTAGGTGATCACTTCTTCATGTCACAAAAATGTGGAACCTGACCTCTTCACAGTTCCTAGACCTCAGGAGCCATGCTAAGGGCTGGTCTGCAGGGCACAAGTCAGACCCTTGGGCAGAGAAGAAACGGCACCACTTGTGTGTTGAATTTAAAGAGACAGTGATTTCAGGCCCTCACACTCAAGTTTGCACCCACAGCAGCCTCCTCCCCCAATCCTAGGAACAAGATGCCTGGGATCCCAAAGGGGCATCTCTGATAATGGAGGAGAAAGGGAACTCACTTTGCTTAAATAGCTTGTGGTTTTTAGGCACTTTACATATACTCTCTCATGTCATCTTCACAGTAGCCCTGCCAGATAAGGTAGGATTCCCTCCCAGGACGCCTTTCTTCCTTAGACAGGACTTAAACCAGGTCTGCCTAGCTCCACAGCCTGAGTTCCCCAGCGTAGTCTCATGGTGTGGGGGGCCTCCGCAGGCACCCCCATGGCCCCCCACCCCCCTCACCTTCATGACTGTGTTGTAGATGGAGATGAAGTTGGTGAACAGGTCCAGGTACCTGGTAGTGAAGACGAGCGCGAAAAGGATCTGGCTCTTCCCAGAGATGCCTGTGGTCGGAGGGGGACAGGAGCCCGTGAGAACACAGACATCTAGGCCCATGTGCACCCGAGAAGCCCGAGCCTGAGCTGGAGAGGCCTCCAGAGTGTCCCGTCTCCTTTGGTGCAGACGCCCTGTGCAGGCGCTGCGCTCTCCGGAGAGCGGCAAACACCCTTCTCGCCGGGTCACCTGCGTCTCTGTTCCTTTCATTAGGTTGCAATCTGTCTCCCAACCTCCAAAGAGATTGAACACTGATCTGATCCCCAGTGCCCGCGTGGGCCTGCCGAAGTTCTTGCTCTGGAAACGGTGTCGGTGGTGTGAGGGGGACGGGTGGGGGAGTGGGAGGAGGGGGCCCCGAGGATTCTCTGTGCTCCACCCCCAGAGCCCCACGGACAATCCCCAAAGCTCTGTCTGTTGAAGAACAACTCACTGACTTGACAAGGTTGACTCGCCAGGGAGACCAGAGCAGGTGGAGGAAGGCATGGGGCCAGGGGAACATTCTATTTATTTTTCCAAATCCAAAAAATGTGAAAAAGCCTGTTTTTCTCTCGTCGTAAACGTTATGACTATTTTTACTCTTTGTAAAACAAAGATCAGCATGTACACAAAGCTGTAAGCTAAAAGGCAGCCGTCACCTGCGTCCCAAAGCCTCCGCCTGCGTCCCTCCCAGCCTTTCTCGGCTCCTGTGTTGTGCACACACAGGACACACACAGATGCATCGAGGGGACAAAACTGGAGTCCCACTTTCTATGCTGTTTCCTCACCTGCTTCGGCCTCTTTGTTTTTAGCTTTTTATTTTAAATAATCTCAGATTTCCAGAAGAGCTGGAAGACAGTGCCAGAGTTCCCACACACCCTTCCCCGGCTTCCTCCCTTGCTTGCGTCTTGCATAACCACAGAGCTTGACCGAAGCGAAGACATTCACGCTGGGGGAGCACCGACTCAACTCCAGGCTCTATCTGGATCTCAGCATTTTCGCACGGACACCCTCTGTTCCGGGATCCGACTCAGGAACCGAAGCTGGCGTGCTTCCTGGGCCCCTGTGGGCCACTTTGGGTACGTCCTGGAGACGGTTCCAGAACCAGGGGAGCAGAGGCCCTGCCCCCCTTTTCCCTCGCTCTCTCAAGCCCACACCAGTGTGGAGCCCACCACACCATACCCGTCCACGGGCCCACCTTTCTGCCTCCAAAGGTCAGGTCTGTCCACTCTCCCACTCTATCCTGAACCACGTCTACCCTGAACCACTGTCCACCCCGCTGGCTTCTCACCAGCTCTGGCTGCTCCTGTCCTCCTCCCACCTTAGCCTTGCCACCCCCACCTCTCCTCTCTGTCCCTTTCCCATCCCGTCCCGTCCCCCATGGCAGGGAGACTCGCGCTTCGGACTCTTCCGAGTTCTGACCTATGTATTCCCGCCTGACCAAACTCATCGTCTCCCCGGAAGCCCCCTCCTTTTCCTGTCTCCCCTTCATAATGCCACCACATCCCCTCCACGCTCCAGCCAGAAAACCAGGAGCCAGCCTGCAGTCTCTCTCCCCTTGGTCCCCCGCCTCCCTGCTTCTGAGCTCCACGGCTCCCACTCCCTGCCCCTCACTCAGCCGGGCCCCCGCCTCAGTGACCCCCAACTGCTCTTCCCATGGGCTCTTAGCCAGCCCAGAGCCCTTCAAATAAAGAACCAAATCCTCATCAAGGCTCAGGAGGGCCTGCCGGCCGCCTCCCTGGTCCCACATCTGATCACTGCTCCTCGCTCCCTCCCTCCAGCCACGGTGACATTTGTGGATTTTATCCTAAATGTAATGGAACAACGGGCGTCGGGCACGGAGAAGTGACATTACCTGATTCAGGCTCTGGTTCCTTCCTGCGCCTGAATGTGCCTGATCTGACTGTTCCTCTGGTGATGGACCGAGTTAGGAGAGAGGGAGATTATATATTTGTTAATCCTCACCCGAGGATATTTTTTTCTTTGATTTTTTTAGAGAGAGTGGAAGGGAGGGAAAGAGAGAGAGAGAGAAAGAAACATCGATTGGTTGCCTTTGATCCCCACATGTGCCCCTGGAGCTGGGGATAAAACCTGCAATCCAGCCAGGTACATGCCCTTGGCCAAGAATCGAACCCGTGACCCTTCAGTGAGCGGGCTGTCACTCTAACCACTGAACAACACCAGCAGGGCGAAAGGAATATATTTTTATTGATTTCAGAGAGGAAGGGAGAGGGAGAGAGAGAAACATCAATGATGAGAGAGAATCATTGATTGGCTGCCTCCTGCTCGCCCCACACTGGGGATCGAACCCGCAACTTGGGCATGTGCCCTGACCGGGAATCGAACCGTGACCTCCTGGTTCGTAGGTTGACGCTCAACCACTGAGCCACGCCAGCCGGGCGAGAGGAATATTTTTAATGACTGAGGATGAACACCGCTGAAGCCCCTAACATTCCAGAGAGCACTGGGCCCATGTGCCAGCTTTCCTACCAGCACAGCCTGGCGGGCCGGTCTCACAGTCCCCATCTGTAAAATGGGCGCCTTCACACCCACAGGCAGGACTGATTCAATGGGAACCTGAGTGCCTCCTGGGGGCTGGCACTGCAACAGGGTGGGAACGAGCCCGCCGGGGGAGGCGACACTGACAGCTCTGGGCTGTGCCTGTTGCTAAGCATCTCACTGAGCCCTCAGAGGCCTTCTGGAGGCCTCAGCCCCACTAGGAGGCCCAGGAAGCAGCCTGGTGGGGGTGCTTGGCCACCCCGCTCACCCGGCCTCCCCCAGCCCTCCCCTATCGCCATCCTCAGCCTGCCAGGCCCTGGGCTGCATCACACTGTCCTCGGTGATGGGGGCCCTGGTGGTCTGGATGCCATGGTTGTCACACTCTTTTGAGAGCAGTGCGTCATTTCCACCAAAGCAAGCGGGGCATGGAGACCTGGGACGTGGAAGGGAGCCGAGTCAGGGCCTGGCCAGAGTCCCTGAGGGCACCTCAGCACAGTGGGGCCACCGACCAGGTGCAGTCCTCCCTCCCAATCGACAGATGGGAAAACCGAGTCTCAAGGTCACACCCTGAGTCAGGGGCAGGCAAGAAGCAAGCCCCAGTCTCCTCTGCCTCCAGGGCTGAGTCAGCGGGGTCACAGCGGGCCCTGCTCTTGGGGCTGACAGGGCTGGGATGGGGGCACCTCACCCTCACACACTCAACAGGCCTGTGCCAAGCCCTCTCTGGCGCGCATAGGCTGTCCTTTCTCGCCCCTAACAAACCGGGTCATTTACTCATTCGCTACTGTTGCTTATTGGTGGTCCCACAGCTAAAAAGTCCGCTTCCTCAGCCCAGGATCCAGCCGGAGCCCGTGCTGTATGCCAGGGACCTAGCACAGTGCCGGGCAGAATGGGCTGGAGAACAGCGCCCCCTCCTGGCCATGGTTGCACACCCACCCAGAGTCCTCCACGGAAGTGCAGGGACAAGTCCAAGCTTGGTTCTTCCCATCACTGACACCTTCTGACCCCAAACTCCCCTCTCAGCATTCCTGGCCCCCTTCCCCCGAGTGCGAGCCGTGAGTGCCAATCTCTCCAGAAACCCCAAACCCGAATGGCCTCCCAATCCAGAATGCCTCCCTCTGCAGTGACCCTCCCATCAGCACCCACCCCTCCCAGGCTGGTGGCCTCCACGCTGCTCTCCCTGCCTCCGCTCTTGGACCCTCTGCACAGCTTTCGGGTCCCCTTCTGAGCGCCCTCCCTTGCTCCCAAGCCTTCTGCGGCTCCCCAGTACCAACTCCCTAGCTTGACAAACAAGACTCTGTCACATATGAACCACCCTCCTTCCAGACTCGCCTCCCAGACCACCCCCAATTGGGCTGCTCGCCCCTCCAGGGATGTGCCCGCCCTCTGTGACCTCTGGACTTGTGCACCCCGTGTCCCCCACGCAGCCCACCCTTCCTGGTAACACTGCCGTCTACCAGGACCCAGCACAGAGCTGCACCTTCAGGAAGCCTTCAGGGCTGGCCCTCTGCCTCCCAGGCCCCCACAGGAAGCCCACCCTCATCTCTGCATCTCCGCACCCCAGTGCCAAGCACAGGGCGGGCCTGCAGGACCCTAGCAGACAAAGATGGCGGCAGGAGGCCTGGGCAGCCTCTTCCTGCACTGGGTCGGCTTGGCCACCACCAGTCCAGCCCTGAACCTCCTCCAAACCCCCAGCAGGGCAGCCGGACTACAGGGCAAAAGAGCGGCCCCTCCCACCCTCCGCAGGCTGCTGCTCAGGGGCAGCTCCGTGCCCACCTGGGCTGGGCTTGGGCCCTCCTGCCACATCACAGACGCCTGTGCCACACCCAGGCGGGCTGCAGGGACAGGGGGGGGCACTGGA